TGCTCCTCACTTGGGCTTTACTTGATTGACACCATGTTTTTATTGCATATTCATAGAATAGGGATTTTACTTTGTTTTGGTCTTGTATTTTGACCATAGATTAGGGTTTGTGAACTTTGGGCTTGTAATTGGGCTTCATGGGTTTTTGGGCTTTTGATACCCAATATTGGGCTCATTCTTCTTCTTGTATTTTTTCCTTTTCATTGTATTTGATTGACCAATGTATTTAGGTCATTAGATTAGGATTATACGAAGTATACATTAATAGGTGCATTAGGATTCATTTTTATGTCATTTAGAAGTTATTTGATTTGAATTTGAGTCACATGGATTGCATGGTGAGGACCGGCCATGTGAACCTTAAATTCAAATCCAAATGGCTTCCAAATTACATTAAAATGAGAGTGGGATCCGGATTAGTCACATGATTGGCCAAAGTTTGAATTTCAAATTCAAATTTGAAATTCAAACTTGGCGCCAATTATCTTCTCACGGATTGGCGCCACTTTAGTTTCATTCCCACCTATAAATGTATGTCTTAAGCCTTGTACTCTCACTTTTGACATATATGAAATTTGAGAGCATTTTCTGCCAAGTCTCTTCCAAAAGTCACCGAGAGAGATAGCCATCACTTTTAGGAACCCTAGCTAGGTTTCCTACCTTTTGAAGTGAGCTTTCCTTTGATTCCTTAAGCTTGGATGCTTCCATCCATAGTCTAGGAATCCTTAGTCCGAAAACTTCTTCCATTCAAGTGTTCTTACCTACGGTTTCAATCTCCATTGAAGAGGTCCTAGCATTGGTGAATCCGAGGAGGAGAACATCTTCCACTTCTCCTAGTATTTTCCATCAAAATCAGTCACCAAAGTTGTCACTAAATTCAATTTTCTATTTTGTGAAATTTAATTTCTTTGTATCACATTTCACTTTTCTTGTAACTCGTTAACCTTATCTTTGAGTTAATTTCTTGCTTTATTTTGCTAACACAAACTCACATTTAGGAGTGTTTGTTTTGGGAAAACTTTTGATTTATCCCACCACTTCCTAAATAATTTTAAATAAAGTTTAGTAACCGCTTAGCACTTGTGGAAGTGTCCCCAAAGGGCTCTAAGTTTCATTTGGGCTTCCACTAGGATTCAACTAGTTTAATTGCTTTCATAGAACATGTAGTACTTGTGGAAGTGGTCTAAGGGGCTATTAGTGTCATTTGGACTTCCACCCTAGGGAATCCGACTAGTATATGTTTTACTTGCTTTCTGTATTTTCCTTCTTTACTTGCTTTCCTTCGTTAGTTTACTTTCTAATTGTAATTAGGAACATTCCAAGTTCATTTAGAAGGCCGTTTTGCCTACTAGGAGTTTCGTGCACACACTCACACTTTTACTTGATTTTGTGTGAAAATTTGTTTTGTGAGACAAGTATAAGAGGCTTTAGTTATTTCTACTCGAAAAGGCTTGGTTATTAAGTAGCTCCTTTTAGCTCACCTCCCTTGATAGTACAACTTGTATAGTTAGACTTCCAAGTGCTTAGTCTTGCACCAAAAAGAAAATTATTTTATGAAAACCTTTATCACTCAATTTTTGCAATTCTTTAGAAAACTTGTGAAAATCATTTTCTGCAAAAATGAGTGATCATTCCCATGATAGTAGTGTACATGGTTATCATTCCCCTAGAAGTCATAGGAGTACCAAAGAGGAACTCCATGAACTTAGGGACTATATTATAAAATAAAATAAAAATGAAACCATAAGAGAGTTGTTAAACACGCTAGTAGTGGGTGGTGAGGCTAGCAAACCCAAAGTTCATGAGGACAATGGGCCTTCAAAGTCCAAGAGGCAAGATGGTGAGGGACCTTCCAAGTCTTCTTTAAAATTATTTTATTTCATTAATAGGTCTTTTAGACAAAAAAAAAATATAATAAATATTTAAAATTAATTAGACCAAAAAATATCTAATTAGGGTTAGGGAACATAAATTGATATATAGATATTTCTCTTTTCCAAATATTAATTAATTAAATAAAAATAATATTAATTTAAAATTAATAGTTTAAATTATTAATAAATTTAATATTTTTAACTAAGTTAATTAATTTTTTAAAAGAATTTAATTTAATTTAAAAAAATTATAATTAGGTAGGGGATTATTATTGTAATCCTGAAAACTGGTCCTTTGTAGCCATTTCTCCCACATCAGTAGATTTGGCCTTAAAAAAAATCAAGGGTACACCTAACCCCTTCTTAGCCACGTCCATGTGGCTCAAAAATGAACCAATTAATTAGGAATTATATAACTAGTTTTTATTGGAATAACTCTGAATTATAATATATATATATTATATATATATATATATATATATATTATAACTTTCTTGAATATTACATTACTAGTTTTAATTGAAAAAATTCTAAATTAGTTTTCAAATTTACCACACACTTTCTAGAACACTTATTGTAACTAGTTTGACTAGTTGGATATATCCATGCGTAGCATTATATAAGCAATTTTAAAATAAAAAAATTTAGATAACTAGTTTTAGTTGGAACAGTTTTGAATTAGTTTTCTACACTTTCTAAGGCGCTGGTGTAGCTAGTTTGACTGGTTGAGATATATCCAAATGCGGCATAATTTTTCGACTTTGGTATATATTATTAAAAAAAAAGCCCATCGCTTTCAAAACACTTGCCCCACTTTAAAAAATTTCCTTCGCATAGATCTTTTTGATAATTAACAGCTTTTCGTTCTTGATCCAACATATTTTGGCAAGAGTTAAACTACATATGCTGTTAGGAAAAAAAAAATATATATATATATATATATATATATATATGTGGGTTTTATAAAATCAAAGAGCAAATTCTGATCTTATATCTATTTCTTTATAGCTCGTGCATACGCCGAGTAACATCTTCAATCACTATTCAAGACAATTTCCTTCATTATGCTCTTCAAAGGGAAAAAGTAGAGCTAGATCAATTTGAAGGGGGAAAAAAATGTTATCTTGTCTCTGATTTCAACATGTCTATCCTCTAAATGCATTAGCATAATCATCATAGATTGGTGGAGAAAAAACATGCCTATCCTCTAGAATGCATTAGCATAATTATCATAGTTTGGTGGAGAAAAAGGATGCCGAAATAATTCCCATGATGTAGACCGAACACATCTTTATGTATGTTCGTCAACCTCCTCCAATATCTTTGGCTTGACCTTGGGAACTTTTGCATCACGTGTTGCAAAATCTAATTCAACTCAAAGAACCAAATTGTCGGATAAAATCTCCTTTAATTAAAATGTAAAGCATAGAAATAAGAAAAGAAAGAACGTGCAAAAAGATTTGGAACTTCGCTAAAGTTGACAGATCTTTAGGTTAGAACAAAGGAAAGTAGAAGATAACTTCTATTAATAAAAGAAAACTATACGGTACTCTTGTCGAAATTATTAACCTTTTTATATTACATAAAAACTGGAGTTAAATTTAATTTTAATCTTTAAAATTAGTATTATTCTAATTGATCAAAGTAACTATGTTTGAACCTCCTCATTTGTAATTTTTACTAATAAAAAAAATAATATAAGCCAACAATCCTATAAGACCAGATGTGCAATAATATGAAAAACAACACTAAGGAAACATAATAGTCCTGAACCAATAATATAACGTTTTACTTTTATTTACCCTTTTACTCCTTTATCAATAGTTAAATATAAGGCACCTAGACAGTCACGAAAATAATGATTTACAATACTGTTACAGAACAGAACAGCTTTAAAATATTATCTTTTTGTCCACATGATACAAGGCAAGTACTGTAAGAACATCTTTATCCCTCTAACTAGACAAGAGTTGTGTAATTTTCTTTTTCTTGGTTGTATTCACACACACATAAATGTAGAGGGGGAGATTTCATTTTCTCATAACAATTATTTATATAAGCAACTCTCTTAACGCTATTTTCTCAGTATCAACTTTAACCATGCAACTCACTACTATCAACCTAACAGGTAATTAATTAGGTGATCATTTTTAAAAAGCTTAAGCTAAAGTTGCTCTAAGAAACTATACTAGGAAGATAAAAATGCAAATTTTACACAACTTTTTATAACTCATTTTTCTTTCTATCATTCACTCTTATTATCCATTACTTCTATCTTCTCTTTTCTCTCTCCTAAATTATAAATTTGTTCTACAAAAGTAATGTATGAATAACATTATCCGAGTAGGAAACCTTCCCCGGTGATTTTACAATGTATAGCTACAAATCTTAACTACCGTCATTATAATTTTTACGACAAAATAAAAAAAAATAAAGAAACCTTATAATATAAGCAAGTAATCAAGTTAGCCTTTCTCAAACCTATTAATTAATCATGATCTTCAACTATGTAATGCACCTATTCTACATAGAAACGCTGGGAAGTTGAAACCAAGTGGCAGCGCATTAACCTTTCATTAATAGTCAATACCAAACTGAGTACAAGCCATAAAATTTTACATTTACTGAAAGTGTACCATATATGAACAAGCAACACGAATACACTTGCAAGGTACATACGCCACTACCTAATTAATAGTCAGGGCATTATTTCAGCATAACTGTATAAAGGAAGACCTGAAATCATTAATTTTTCAAAATTGGCAGCCCAAAAGGAATCAGAAAAATAAATGTCACTCCAAACCTCTGCTTGGAATAATGTTTGCCGTGGCTACACTAGAGTAAATGAATTTAAAACATGAGTCCCTCGAAGAAACACACGTTTGCCAAACATTCATCAAATAGAATAACCCGTGTTTATAACACTTACACAAAGGAGCTAGGAACATCCATAATTTCTTTTATCCATCAGAATTATAATGATAACACCAGAATTCAAACCTAAAACCAGTGTTGACTACTCCAACCCCCCACCACTAAGCCGACTCTAATGGTCCAGTAGCATACATAATTTATAACTAATGTATAAATTTTATTAAAAAAATATATGTAGATTCTAAGAGTAAATTTTCATATAAAAAGTGTAAATGGTTCTATCTATTTTGAATTAATATCATAAATTTGATTCAACTAAACACCCCCAATATATTCTTATAATACAATAACGTTTGACATACAACAAAATCTTTTGTAGACTTTTCACCTGAACCCATTTCAACAAAATGCTCCATTACTATCTTCTCAATGAGAAACAGATTCAGGAAATTTATCTCAATTGCTTCCCTTTTATAAGAACCTATGAATCAATAAATTACCACGACATGGGTTGATCTAGAACACTAACTCTGCAGTATATGGGAGATAACACAACACAACACAACAGGTCCAAATGAATGGACCTATTAATTTATACTCTCCGAAGGCATACAATCTGATTGGAGAATCCATGATGATCGTGAAACAGAAAAAGTCCATTCACCCTTTTCTGCTCGGTCCATACTTTATAGAACATCTCTTCCAGAGGTTCGCTGATCAAGCTTATATCGAAGCCTTCCAGATCCACCCTGCATATGAAACAATGCAACACACATTTTTAGCTCAATTCCTCAAATTAGAACACCAAGGCATAACACGCTCAAGATATGTATACAGCTTTCTACATTCAGCATCACAGAAGATAAAGAGCAAGAAGCACAAAAGTCATACCACAGGCTAAAACAAACCAATGAAAGAACTTCATCACAACCAATTCATTCTTAACCCAAAAAAAAAAAAAACAGGATCCAAATTTAAGCCTTGGGGCATGCTTGATTCACTTCCCACTTTTTAATTCCAAAATCTATTCTTTTAAAAGATTTCCATGTTACTTTATTTTTTATATATATACAAGAATTGAACTCAATACTAAAGAAATTTACAAAAACTCAGGCACCCTATTCAATCAACTGAATTAAACCCCATATCCAAAATCAATTACTCATCCAAAATCTATCAAGTTCTGAAAAATGTTTCCTAAACAAAAACAGTGAGATATTATCTGATTTTATCATCTTATTCTATTTTGTGGTCCTAGCTCAAGGGTGTAGCCGTGAAGGTGAGTAAATAATCTCAAATGAAGCTACACGTGGTGGTGAGGCATGATCCTAATGTAGGCATCTATTTTCACTAGTTTTCCCAAAAATACTAAAACCAAAATTTGAAAATAGAAACCAAACACACCCTTAAGAAAAAATCAGCAGCAAAATCAGGGTTTAAGGCTTTTGAGAAAAGAGAAAAGACAATCCCTTGACTTGACAGAGAGAGAGAGAGATAGATACCTTGGAAGAGCGAACGGCGACGCATTCGGGGGGCGTTTCGAAGAGCGACAAGGGGAAGTGCTTGGAGGCGGCGCCGACGTCGAAGTAGATGAGGCCAGTGGTGGGAACATCGACGCGGATGCTCATGACGCGGAACCAGAGGAAGAGATCCTGGGCCTCCAGGCCCGTCAAAGCGTCGATCATGCCGTAGCTGAGCTTCCCCGAGACGTTCCTCTCGTAATGCAACTCGTTCTCGAACTTGGCGTTGCAGGCCTCGTCCAGGTGGACCCAGAAGGCCCCGTCCTGGCCCACCGCGAACTCCTTCACGCCCTTCGGGAACAGGCCCATGGGCAGCCCGTGCTCGCTCAGCGCCTCGTAGATGCTCCCCGCATTGCCCCGCGCCGCGCACCCGCACAGGCTCCACGCCGCAGTCAGGAGGAGAACCGCCCAGAGGACGCGTGGGAACATCGTTTCGCTTCGCTTCGTTTGGTGTGTGGTTTTGTTAATTTGTTGCTTTTCTGGATTTTTAAGGTTTGGGTTTTATGCGTGCGGGAACATTGCTGTTTGTTGGGTTGGATCAGTGAGTTGGGTTTTGGGATTGGCGATGAGAAGGAGAGGGCGTAGCAAGAGAGAGAGAGAGAGGTGACAGCTTGTATACAGAAGGGATTAGGAAGAGAATGATCAATTATTGGTATTCGGTGGTGACTGGTGAGTGCTGTGTGGGCCTTACTCTGTTTTTTTTTTTTTTAGTAATCTTAATTCGTTATTAGCAATTTTTAGTTACATTTGTTTATATTTTTTTAATTTAATTAAAACCTTTCTTGTAACCCATGGTTACTTGGTTAGAAAAAACAAAATTGATAATTAATTAATTAGAAACAATTTTAGTATAATTAACTAATGATAATTATTTTAAGATTAACTAACTTATCGTATATATCAATTTTAACTAAATAAGGCTATATTATTTTTAATTTCCAACATATTGATAATATAAAAAAATTTATTATTATTTAATTATAAACTATTGTGTCAAATATTATTTATAGTAATTTAAAATAATTTTATAATTAATTTTAACTAATTAATGGTGTAAAAATATTATATTAATTTATAATTAAATGCTAATATAAAAATAGTATCTTTTTTAATTCAAACATGTTAATAATGTGAAAAATATATATTATTATTGGGCCATAGATTATTATGTATAATAAGAAAAGTAATATTTATATTAATGTTTAAAAATCATATTAAGGATGTTAATTAATTAATAATATAATATTACTTATATCAATTCTTATACATTAAATAGGAATTTCTATCTTAATTAAAAGTGTTTTTAGAAATTTTTTCTTAGTGGGAGAATTTATATAAATTCTTTTAACTTTTTATCTAATTTAATTTTTATTTATCATAATTATTTTTCATTTAAAACTACATTTATTATTTTGAGTTTATTCAAGATTATGTTCAGTCTTCTTCCTGTTTTTAAGAAGAGAAATTTCCATGTAAAAGAAAGTTAATTAAAATATTATTTAAGTTATATTTAAGAGAGTATAGTTTAATTTAAATTATTCAAAATTAAAATCTGTTTGGATTTAAGGAAAACAAATTAAATATAAGAATGTCATTCTTGCTCGCAGTTTATTTTACTAAATTGGTGAAAATATTATTTTAATTACATATTAGTATGAAATATTTTCTATTAAAAATAATGACTAATCTTTATAAAAATTGAAATAAATATTATTTTTTAACATAGTTTATATTTATCCTCTTTATACTCTACAATATTTTAAAGAAAAATAACTTCTTCTTTCTTTTTTATTTTTTATTTTTAAGTTCATTTGACCATCACCTTTTGTAGTCATACATAAACAATGCAGATATTTATTTGCATAAGTTCTTAAAACAGTAATAAAGAAGATAAGTATAATTTTTAGAAAAACATTGTGAATTATTGAAATAAATTCTTGGAAGTATTCAAAATCGATAAATCAGGCCAAAGATGACATGTATAAATTGTTTATTTTTTTTATTTATGAAAGTTTTCTTAATACAAAAGGAACGATGGTTTTGAACGATATAATTAAAAAATAAAAATAAATTAAAAAAGTTTTCACATTTTTTTATTGCACTCTACGAAGTAGACAATATAGTCGAGGTGTGACAACGATTGTAATTTTGTCTTGTGTGAATCATACATCATTATTTTGTGTAATGAATTTAGATAATCGTGTTTTGCAATTATTAATGCTAACTGTTAATTTTGTTCAACAACTTGCATTGTCACCATAATTGTTGACTTTGTCAAATAACAGATTGCGTATGCGCTACCTTTTGGTTAGATTGAACGCATTCTAAGTCAATTTATTAATTAAGAATAGTGTTGACTGAAATCAAAGATTAAGGAATGTTTATTTTTATTTTTTATTTTTACTTTTATTCTTTTTAGAAATCAAAACATTTTAAAATGATTAAAAAATGTTTGATTTACTCTCTTTTTAATTGTCGATTTTTTATAACGTTTTTTTAATATTTATTTATTGTTTTTAAAGTTTAAGATATCCTTAATTTATATTTATTTTTTTGTCAATTACTCCCTCTAAATTTATATATAAACAAAAAAAATTTAAATTTTTTAGACTAAAATATAAGTAAATTTTATTTAAATAAAATTTATTTAATACTCTTAATTCAAAAATATTCTCATTGCAATAAATGAGATATTATCTACTATAAATGTAGTTCAGGGTATTTTAGAAAATGTGATATATATTTATGTGAGATTGTAAAAATTAAATTCATTTAATGAACTTTTTTAATCTATGTGAAATTAGTTCAATTTACTTATATATAAGTTTAGAGAGTGTGACATCCTCTATTCTGCATGTCATAATACACAATAACTAAACTAAACAGAAAACTTAGTCATAAGTGAATTTTAAAAGTTCAACATAAAGAGTATCACATTCTAACAAACAAAATCTATTGAAGTTCAATTGAACATTAATATCATAGAAATATGTGGGTATCATAGAAAATCAATATCACATACCATAATATGAAAGTTGACCAAGAAGAGGGAAGGTATATAAGATTTTCAAAGAACTTGAACTTCATAAGTTCATTTCTTCGAATTATAGAGAGAAGATTTAGAGAGATAAGTTATGGAGCCAGGGAAGACCTTTTCTTCTTCTAACTTCTCCAAGAGCATCTAGATCCTCCCCCTAAAGTTGAGATCAAGTGGTAGAAGCTTGAATTCTAGTTAGGAGCATGAAATCTTAGGGAGAAATTAACTCTCGAGAGTTTGTTTTGAGTTTTGTTATTTTTTTTCCCTTCTTCTTGCTTTGATTGAATTCTAGCTAAAGAGCTTGAAATCTTAGAGGGAAATTGACTCTTAAGGGTTTGTTAAGTTTTGTTCTTTCTTCCTCTTCTTGCTTTGAGAAACAATTGAAATAAGGAAAGTTTGTTGTTTGATTCCTTGAGTTGCTTTTAAGTTGTTGTTGATGGTGTTTAGCCCATTGGTGGTTCAATTGAGGATAATTAATGATGTTTATCTAAGTGAAGTTAGGGTTTTAAGAGAAAGGAAGTTTGAGACCCAAGGAAGTGGAATTACGATGATTATTGTATTGCATGAGGAATTTTAAGTTGTTTAGATGTACTTTAATGGATTGCATGTGGTGAATCATTAGTGTGGTGGCTAGATTTGATGAGAGAAAATGAGTTTTCATGGAGGAAATTCGTATTTTATCTTAACAAGAATGCATGCTCACCTGTGCATTCATAGTTGATGATCCTCTACCTAGATTTGTGTTCTCGCTTAGTGGTGTGATTATCACCCATTAAGAAAATGAATCAATGGTGACTCTCGCAAAAGCTCACCCAACGAGACAGTGCCCTTGACAAGAGAACCCATAGAGAATTATGTCTACTTAGCAAGCTATGGTTGCTCAGCAAGAGGACTCACAATAAGTTAAGCTCGCTCAACAAGCCAAGGCTACCCAACAATGAGCTCTAGAGGAGTTTGGTCACCCAACAAGCTAGAGCTCACTCGATAAAAAGCCACATGGGGTTTTTCTCATTAAACAAGACTAACCCACCTAGCAACCAGCTCTAGAGAGCTTTGGTTGCCCAGCAAAACCCCTATTTTGTGAACTTGGTGTGCTTTTGTACCTTACAAGTTGTGTTAATAAATATTGTTGAAAGTTGAACATTTTTTCATGGTATGTTGATATATGCTGATTCTTTTGTATCATATGATGGTTATGTATGATGAAATATTATGAGATTTGATAATTTGAGAAGTATGTGTCTTAAGTTGAAGATGTATGTTGAATGTTGTTTAAGATGTTGTATAAGCACGTATTGCATGTCTTTTAAGTTGAAAGTTGCACACACAAAAAACTAGAGGAAAGGAAAATTATTTTAAAAATTAAAATATTTCATTTTGTGGATAAAGTTATGGTGTTCTAAGAGCTTAAAGTTGAAACCCCTCAGTGTGGAAGTTGTCCTCTGAGTGGAAAGTTGTTTTGAAAGTTATCTTTTTATAGATTTTTAAGTTGAAACAATATGGAGGACAAGTTGAACCATACTAGTCATAAGTGACCAACAAGTAAGGTACAAAATCAGGGGCTAAAATCCCTAAACAAGTATTGGAAATGTGCCAATGAATAAGTGACAGGCTAATTTCATATAGGCTTAGTTAATGCATGTTAATATCATGGGAGGCTATATTCCTGACAGTAGTACTAGAATTTTCTAATGTAAGTGATAAAACTTGAGAAATCAAAATAAATTGTTAAAACATGCTTAAAGTTGTTTATACTTAACCTAGAGATGACAAGTCAGACGTCGTGATTCGATAGGATCAAACCACTTAATCTACTCATTAAGTTGTAGGAGATCTCCAAAGTTGAAAATGCATAACGATGCATAAGTTGATAAATTGTTTAAGTTGTTAAGTTGTTTAAAGTTGCTAAATTGTGAAAGTTTCTATGTTGTTCAAGTTGCAAGTTGTTAAGGTTGCCATGATGTTCTTAGTTGTAAAATTGATATGTTGTTAAGTTGTTCATGTTGATTACTTCTTATGATATGTTATTTTTTCACAAGTTTATGGGAGCAAGTCATGATTAGGCTAAAAGGCAAGCATTGTTGGATGGCCATGATAGATATGACATTTTGCTGTTGTAGAACTGTTATGATACAATATGTATATAGAAATGCTTGACCAATCCTAGGGTTTATGTTTTTAGTACTAATGTATTAGATGTTTATGTATATATGTACAAGGACTGTTTGTGACTCCATAAAAGGATTTATATTTTCAAGTCAAGATTGACAAGGAATGTTTTATGTTTTTTGCACCCTATACATATAATTATTGTAGTTATATCCTTGTATTGCTTGCATATAATCTTAGGTTAAAAGATGTTATGTTTTTGCGCTACGTTGTAACTGGGTCATATCAAGTGTAGTGACTTGCCGGATCATTGTAATAGATCTGTTTAGAGAGTGTTTTTCCATTTGAAATGCATTAAATGCAAGGAAGGATCTTCGTATAAAGCTTTAGGAAAGAGATTTTAGCACATTCAACAGAAGTGATACTTTATTAAAAAAAATGTATTTTGTCTCTTCTAATCTATGCGCATAAGACATGTTCTAA